ATAGATATTTCCACAAGCCGAACTTGCTTTCGACCTGACACATTCAATGCAACATTTTCAGCTGGGAAATGGCGTTGGTTTGCACCAGAGCCATAAGATTATTGCCGAAACGCACTTCCAGCCTGCCCCCCGACAGACAGATGGGGTTACCCATTCATCAGTGATTTATCCCGAAGAACTTTAGTCGAAAGCGTTAGAAACAGTCTGTGTAGAAGAGTACAACATACAACAACAACAACATTGAGCGGAAACGAGATACGGCGGGCTAGACGGGCTCGCGGCACCCTTGCATGCGCATTGAGAAGTTGGAATATACATCCTGTAGCCTTAGGGAGAGTGTTGTCAGGATGGATGCAGGGTTGGGCTGCCCTTATGGGGGTAGTGAGTAGTGAAACCCGGGGTGTTAGGCACAACGCGTGCCATTTCAGTTCAAGATAGCGGAATTTTCCTGTAAAATGGACCAATTTCTAGCAAGTTTGGTGACTTGGGCCAGTCAAAAAGTCGAAGCCCATATCTCAGCTCCGAAATAGTCTAATAGAGATATTTTAGGGCCTTGGGTATATTATTCTCTGGGCACCATTTTTATCTAACCCATCCAACATTACAGATGTGCACGCTAACCAACAGCCAAGAATATTATATCATAGCAAAAGCGAAATTCCTGGCACCTGCCCTTCCTCACATGACCTTATGTTCACCTTTTCCTTCATGAAGGTATTGCAGTTCGAAGCGAATGCATAATCATTGCCCATTAAGTTAACGCTAGCATTACATGGGTTAACATTACATTACATTAGTAACATACAAATATTCATTTTACAAGAACGCATTGCATATAGATATTCAAGCGCATTAGCCTCGACAAACATGACGCTGGTGCTGGAACTAGAAAACGCGGTTTCATGGGATTTACTTTTGGAATCAGACCCTAGTGTTGAGCTTTGTCTTCAGAAGTCTTCAAATACAAAATTACATTGTCTATTCATATAACCTTAACGTAAAGATGTAGAACAGGGGTGTCATCCAGTTCAATGACGAAATCTCTGTGTTCAATCACCTGGCTAGTATCTACCAACCTGTTCGTAGCATCAACCAAAAACCATACCGTGGGCTGCCAAAATAAAGTCCCATGGTGACGCCACGTCTGTGTAGCCTTCTCTAGTAGCCTCGGTTTGGAAACTTGAAGTTATCTCGTGGCTAAATAACACAGTAGTATTAGCCTTATTTCTCGGAGATAAAAAAAACAGGAGAATGGAGATATAGTTGGGTCGATATTTCGGAAATATACCTTTATCGAAACCATAGCAGATGTGAATCCAAAATTCCCTGCCGGTGATCCTACACTATTTTTCAGTTTTTTTAAAGAACTGTTGCATGACACTAGTAGTCAGGGATTAAACAAAGAGCGATTGTCAGCGATTACTACGATAAAGTGTCTCTTTAAAAATTAGAACGTGCGAACAGACGTACACATGCAAACGAATTCAAGCAAATGGACATCAGACTTCATTCAAACATGTAAGCAAGTTAAAGTAAACAGGCACCACACATCGCCCATCAGTTATACATGCAAACGATTTCAATTGAACAGGCATCGCACATCGTGCGTCAGGTATCACTTACTCATGTAAACGATTTTAATACACGCCCGGTTGGGGGGCAAAATGACCCCCGCAGGTTTTTCCGGAATGGTTTCCGGATGGCGCGGCGAACCTGCGCCAAATTTTTCATTTTCTGTAGGCAGTTGAATAGCGGATCGCTTGACATAAAAATTAGATGTTTCTTGTGAGGTCGCCGACCTATGGCAGGTGAAAATCAGGGTATGGTTTCAGCGAACGCAATTTCTAGGGAATCGCCCAATCTGATAAAATAACGGAGTGTTTGACGAAGCCAAACATCTCTGAGATACTTTCTTAGGCACCATGAATATTGAATGAGCGAATTACCTTGGCCTAAGACCAGGCATGAAGGTTAGACCAAGGTCAAAACCAACGTGATTTATTATTCTAGGGCTTGCTGTATGGGAAAGTTTGTGGTGCTCATTTCAAATTTATTGACAGGAGGAATCGCATTATACATATTTCATTGATTTCTTAGAGATCAGAGCAGGCAATTGACCTAATATTACCCGGGTCGACATTTTGTTTAGGGACATACTGCCTGGCGTAATGGCGTAATCTTTGCCGCTTATTCAAATGCAAAACTCAGAGCAGTCTTGTATGCTTTTGGCCACCATGACCTTCAGAAGATCAAACAAGGTCACTGACCTCAAGTGGGCTTGTGACCTTTTGCTTAGAAACAGTTGCCTGGGTTCTGGGGGCACTTCAGAGACCAACCTGGAATTTGACCTTCTTTGACCTTATTTGACCTGAAGGTCATGACATAGGAAGCTCAAACTTTCATCTAAGTGATTTCACGTTCAGGTCAAGATTCCTTATAAATGTGGTGTTTCCAGCTTTCTTAGTTCCCGAGATCTCAGGGGGTGGGCAAATTGAGCCCCCCCCCCCCCTCTCACCCGAGCGAAGGGTATTTAGCCTGCCACCTGGGCGCGTTTTAAGCTAGCACACATCACACATAAAGGTACATATCATTTTCGCGTAATCGGTTATGATGAGCCCTGTATGTTAAGATTTGGTCGCCGACTTTTTATAAGAAGGGATTCACCTATTTTCCTGTCTGGGTGATCCTGTGTTCTGTAGATGAATGTGCTCTGTAGTCATGATATCAGTCATGATGAGCCTGTATGTTAAGATTTGGCCGCCGGCTTTTTATAAGAATGAATTCACTTATTTTCATGTCTGGGTGGTCCTGTGCTCTATAGGTGGATGTGCTCTGTAGTCATCTAGTTTGGTAAACCTATTCTGGTGAACAGCGCCCGTTTAAAACGTGCCTAATTGAAGAAACGATTTTTTTGTAGCCTGGGCAATTGAACGTGTCTCACCAGGGAGTAGCATCCGGATTCAGCCGATGAGATAGCCCCCACCCGCTTTCTTTTCGAATAAAGGCACGTAGAATTTAGAATATGTCCCGTTTGCAGGAGCGTATGAAATAATTTGCAATTGGGGAAGACAGGAGAATCAGCCAAATGAAATCACTAACAATATAGGTTAGCGTGCCAGGAGCATGAGAACTATATGCGCGCCTTCCTGGAGCAGACATAAAAAACAAACAGCAGGCGCCCTGACAAGTGCTTTCCGCGATTACCGTGCAGATACTGCAGAGTAACCAGCGATTTCCGATGCCACGAGCCAGGGATCAAAGTTTTAAATTCTTTAATGCGCCGGCTGCCAAGGGCCTGCTGACACGGCAAAGTTTGTGCGCTGTGCGCTCAAACAAAACGTTGTCCATATATATGCACAGCGGTTTAACTGGGCAGCACCGTACCGCATGACGTCACTCTTCGGCTGAGGAGGACGAAATCGGGTCCGGTAGCCCTCTCTCGGGTAATATCCGAACCATTAGGTCATGGATTACGTGGAAGTGGGACAGTATCCCAACCCGTGGATCTCACGCACGTTGGACTTTATGGACGCTGGACTTTATGAACACTGGACTCCATGAGCAGTCGACGCTGCGAGCCTGGACTTTGTGATCCTCCTCTATCCAAGGCTATTTGACGGTTTCTGGATGTTGTTAACGCTGGATGCTGCGATTCTGAACTTTTTGACCTCTAGACTTTATAAGCTCTGGGCGTTTCAATACGCATCCTACTGAAGAAAAGTTAAAAACCGACTCGGGTTTTCGCACTGCATATTGCACACAAATATGGTGCCGGGTGAAAAATGCTGAGATTTACAGAGCTGAAATCTTGGATTTAAGAACCGTTACATTCTTAGCACATAGATCTGATAGTTATGGAAATGAAACAAAGCCAACTCATGCTGCCTGAGGCCAAGCATTCTCCAGAATCGACTAGTGAAACAAACAAGTTTTGTAATTAACTTTACAAAAAACTTTGACCCTGTGCTCACAGTCTTAGAGGTAAGAACATAGATGGACCGGAGCTGCAGTTTCCATCAAACCGAGCGGCGTTGGCCGCTGCTGGTAACATCATGCAGCAGGCACCGGGTGTGCGAGAACGACCGTTGTGAAATAATTCTTCCGAAGGCCTTCCAAAATCGATAATCAGCGTTCAAAGATTGGACTGGGACGTACATTTTAGCTGATTAATTTTGAGGTTGGTTGTCTTTTGAACGGCTTAAAGATTACAGGAACACGGAAATGGAAATTTTGCCTCTACTTTTCCAGCTCCCCCACTAGATTCCATCACGATATGGCAATACTGTCAATGCTGATTTGTTCTCACTGGCAATCTAAAATTCGTGTAAGTGAGGCATTCGATTGGATTGCTCCCTAACGTACTAATTGATGTTTTAAAACGTCCAAAGACCCTTCTGTCAGACGCGAGATCGTTCTCGTCCGCCGTTAGCCATCACCTGGTGTTAGCAGAACAAAATCCGGTGAAACACCTGAGTGCTATCAGTTGACAAAGAAACCCCTGAACGATTGGGAGAGGAATATCTGAAAACAATGAAAAAGTTGTATTCCGTTTAGCTATTCAATGCCTGATTCCTTCAGCTCCTTGGCTTAAAGGTACAAACAGAGTTGCATCTCCGGTGGTTTCTGGCTTACGCTAGGACAGACGGTAAGTAAACGACACTTTTATGAAGTTTTGAGAATGTTTGGGGGGCCAAAACATACTCTCAGTTTTTTGGGGGCCACGGCCCCGTGTCCCCCAGGATCCGCCTATGGTTTGCGGTCGTGCATATTACCGCAGTAACATTTCTGCATATTTTGTGCGCAAATACAAGGGCGTCATCTTCATGCTAGGTAAGTGAAGACAATAATTGAATGCACGGTACTAGCTACTTTTGGCAGACCTTCATCAAACCAATTTAATAAACAACTGACTAGAATTTGGTGTTCTCTTTCCGTATTGCGCCGTTGTTGTATTTTTCGTCGAAAGGGCCGGCGTGTGTGTCCGCCGGTGTCCGCTGGTAAATGCGCTCCATGCAGGGGTGATATGCGCTGTGTGTTGAGGCGCTACGCGGAGATGGCGTTTTGAGGCCGTAAATCGTATGGGATTAACGGCCGTGGACATTGCGTTGGTCGGGACAGTGATATTCGCGTGCAATTTTCGTGCAGTGCCCGTTACGTGGAATTGGTCGTGGTTAATGCAGTAGCGGCAAGGTTGTGGTCATCTGATATTTTCAGGGATTGTAAAGAAAGCTTCGAGATAGGAGCTTATCTGGTTTTTGTGGCACCTTCCGAAGTTCGGACCCTCTATTACGCTACATCCGGTGTCTGCAGTCCGACCAGAAGGCGACAAGATGAAGGCCGAGGACATGCGTCTTCTGCGATAGGTTGTATCACATGTAAGATTCAGTCTTGTATTCAGTATGTATTCAAAGTGCTGCTGTGGAATGTGGTAGCTATTGCTGGCTTATATATACATATTCATATAGTCACATGTGTGTGAGCATTTATCAGCAGTACTAAACATTTTGAGCTGCACTTATCCTAAATAGTCCATCTTCTCATCTTCCTCTGTTGAGCATGAGCACAACCCAAAATATTATGCTTGATTAATATGATTGTGAAGCACTTTGATGTTATTCAACTAGTATCTCCTAGTACCTCCTAGTAAGGCTGTTAACTCAGTATGTGAATTTTGAACCTGTAGAAAGTGATGCAGATGTAATGGAAGACTGAAGTACATCCCACTAACTCACAGTAGAGTGTATTGGTGTAAATATAATGGAAATTGAAGTGCAACCCATCCACAGGCTGTTCTCTGTATCTCATACTTGTCTTTTACTTTGCGGTTATGTTATCTGGCTAGTTGGCTTAATGTATTGGCTCAAAATTATTTGCAAGATGTTGTACAAATTATCCAATTTGTAATGTGAGATCATGCAATCCTAGAGTTTTTGTGTGAATAATATTTGTTGTGGAGCTATGGTCATATGGGGCCTTTATGTATGAAGATGATAGAAACACCTTCTTCCATATAATGGCAGCTCATGAGATTAAAGTTGAGTGACAGCATATATTCTTTCAAAAATTACTTTTGTAACCATGGCATAATATCTGAAAACAAAATGCTTCAGCACATACTTCCAAATAATAGTTATAGAGCATGTACATGGTGAGTGGAAATGGACCAGTTCTGCCCAGTTGTAAATTACAAGTTGTTGTAACTGGCATGTCATTGAATCATTCTTGGATCATTTATGATGATTCTGCCATGATACTTGTAAAGGTTCAAGCATGAAGCTTGCTGTTAACAATATTGCCATATGCCTGCAGCTGCCCAGCCTCATGGCTCAGCCAGTTAGATTGCCTGCTTTCCTATCCATCCACTTGCCCACCCACTTGCCACAGAGCTCAAGTCATGGGGTTTGAGTCATTGCTTTAGGTGCTCCCTTTTTGCCATTGACAGGTATGGCCTGGGGCCTGTGTCAGGGATGTTCATAAGGTCAGTTGAGAACAAGGGCAGGATGGATCATGCAGAACATCGCAGTAGGTTAAACTTTCACCACTGAATTGTTCTGTCACCTTGGAATTGCATAATCAGGCCAGGTTTATAGGAAGCACAGTTTATTATAAGCTCTGATCATAGGGATCCACCTATTTGTGCTGTTTGAATTAAGCCTTCAACAATGTGGCATCTCTTGACATTTTCAGAGGAACTGAGCCAGCCAACCATGTGGCACGAGGCCCGCAAGCAAGAGCGCATGGTCAGAGGCATGATTGTCGACTACAGAAAGCGTGCAGAGCGTCGCCGCAACTTTTATGAGAAAACCAAGCAGGACCCCACACAGTTTTTGCAGGTACTGTTCTATTAACATTTTAAGGGGTTTTGAGTTGAAATATCTGTCTTGAAGATCATTCAGTGCTGTCCACAGCCCTGCTCTTCTTAAGACCTAGACTCCTCTAGTTTGTTAGCAAAATGCCACTGAACAATTTGACACCATTTCAGGGAGACTTTTGAGAACATTCAGGCCATGAAGTGATAACAACATCATTAAAATCCTTCTATTCCATTAGCCATGCAGTGTGTGAGGCCAAATAATATGATTGCAGTCATTCATATCTGGCATTTGCCGGCACAATTTTCAGATACGACAGTCATCAATTGGCCCTTAATCATTATTGTATAAGGTACAATGACGTGATCAAAAAATGACTAGTCAAAGCTGATACCTTGAATTTGGTGCCAGAAAGTATGTGCTGTATCCCGGAAGACAAATGGTTGGTCTCAATGACAACTTAAGCCACCCACCCCCACCCAGGTCATTTTGTGGTCCAGGACTGCAAAGTATGGCCCACAGTCAGGGTGAAGCACACTGCCGCACTGGTCCCCGTGCCACTGTATGCCTCACATAGCTAACGGGCACTTGCAGCGCTCATGTCGCGCCAGCGGCCCGCGACGCTGTCGTCGCCGGAGCCCGGTGTCTGCCACGGGTGGTACTTGCGCCGGGTGCTGCCAGGCCATGGGCTGGGTGGGTCACTGACAGCCCTCTTCCGGCAGGTCCATGGCCGGCCATGCAAGATCCACCTGGATCCAGCGGTGGCCATGGCGGCCGACGGACCCAACAGCATGATGCCCTGGCAGGGCGACCCCGAGGTCTTCATCGATAGGTGAGTGTGTCCCGAGACTCGTGCCGAGTATGGGCCAGCTGAGTGTATCCCGAGGCTCGTGCCAGGTATGGCCCCAGTGAGTGTGTCCCTAGGCTTGTGCTGGGTATAGGCCCGGTGAGTGTGTCCCGAGGCTCGTGCTGGGTATAGGCCCGGTGAGTGTGTCCCGAGGCTCGTGCTGGGTATAGGCCCGGTGAGTGTGTCGCGAGGCTCGTGCCAGGTATGGCCCCAGTGAGTGTGTCCCTAGGCTAGTGCTGGGTGTGGGCCCGGTCAATATGTCCCGAGACTCGCGCCAGGTATGGCCCTGGTGAGTTTGTCCCTAGGCTTGTGCCGGGTATGGCCCCGGTGAGTGTGTCCCGAGGCTCGTGCCGGGTGTGGCCCCGGTGAGTGTGTCCCTAGGCTTGTGCCAGGTATGGCCCCGGTGAGTGTGTCCCTAGGCTCGTGCCAGGTATGGCCCGATGAGTGTCCCGAGGCTCGTGCCAGGTATGGCCCCGGTGAGTGTATCCCTAGGCTCGTGCCAGGTATGGCCCCGGTGATAGTCCCGAGGCTCGTGCCAGGTATGGCCCCGGTGAGTGTGTCCCTAGGCTTGTGCCAGGTATGGCCCCGGTGAGTGTATCCCGAGGCTCGTGCCAGGTATGGCCCCGGTGAGTGTGTCCCGAGGCTCGTGCCAGGTATGGCCCCGGTGAGTGTGTCCCGAGGCTTGCGGTATGGCCCGATGAGTGCCAGGTATGGCCCGGTGAGTGTATCCCGGAGGCTTTTCGTGACAGGATGGCCCCCGTTGATTGTATCCTGAGGCTCGTGCAGGATGGCCCGGTGAGTGTTATCCCTGTATGGCTCTGTGGGTAGGCCCCGGTGTGTGAGAGGTGTCCGATGCTCGTGCTGGGTATGGCCCCGGTGAGTGTGTCCCTAGGCTTGTGCCGGGTATGGTCCCGGTGGGTGTGTCCCTAGGCTTGTGCCGGGTGTGGGTCGGACGAGCGCGCTGCTCAAAATACATTATATTTCACTCTAAAAGCTGTTTTAGCATTTCCATCGCCTGTAGTCTCGATGCATGCCGTAATGCTGAAGGGGTTCGGCAGTTGACCCGATAACCTTTGCATGCACGCACAACTTTGTTCCATACACCAGATTCCTAGTTCATGTGTTTCATTGAATTAAGCCCAGGCCATTCGATTTTAGTGCAGTACAATTCAATTGAAACCAGCATCAGCCATGACAGTAGCCTGCAATTCGAATGCACATGGAGCAACGTTCACTCACAGTCGACTGCCTGCCGACCTGTCTAAGCTTACCATGGCTCCAGTTCTGTTGTGCAGAGGCCTGTGCTGAAGATCTCGCACTAAGCGTGGATTCTGGTGTACCTGGGTCATACGGGTCGCATGTGCTGCCCCCCCCCCCCCCCTCCGACCGGTCTCTGTGTTCTGAACTCCAGTGTACCTGGGTTGTACAGGCGGGATGTGTTGTCCCCTCTGGCCCGCCCCTGTGTTGCGGTGTACCTGGGTTGTACAGGCGCGATGTGTTGTCCCCTCTGGCCCGCCCCTGTGTTGCGGTGTACCTGGGTCAAACAGGTGGGGTGTGCTGTCCCTCTCTGATCCGTCCCCATGCTCTGGTGTGCCCTGGTCATGCTGGTGGTGTGTGCTGCCCCCCTTTCTGACCCATGCCTGTGTTCTGGTGTACCCCATCCATACAGGTGGGGTGTGCTGCCCCCCCCCCCTTTCTGACCCATGCCTGTGTTCTGGTGTACCCCTGCCATACAGGTGGGGTGTGCTGCCCCCCTCTGACGCCGTTGATCGCCAGGTTTGACGGCCGGGCGCACCTGGACATGATAAGCGAGGTGCGTCCGAGCCCCCTGGCCTCCGACCTGGACGGTCTGCCCCTGGCGGAGGCCGATCAAATCAACTTTGAGAGGTACAGGATTCTGGTGCAAAATGAATTCGCTGGATGTAAGTACAACTCCCCTCTCCCTCAGCGTTGCCGGTGTGATCACCACTGCCGCTTTATCTCCGTTATATATCAGTCGGGGGCGTGGGATGGTCTGTCGTGTTGTAGCCAGGCCTGCTCTAAATATGGTGCATTCATTAGCACCAGTGGCAGAGTAGTGACGACTTTTTGCTGTCTTGCTGGATAGACAATGATTGTGATAATTTAGGGATAATTCAGGGATATAGTCCATAGTCTCTCCTAAGATAACGTTCGTGTATTTTGACTGAGTTGTACTGCGGGCTGGTCATGGTATACCACTGTGCCGGCAGTAGGGAAGTTAGGAAAGCTATCAACGGTTTCAAACGCCTGTGTTTGTTGAGCATGACCACTAAGATAGAAAACCAACGGTTGTCGAAATTACCGCGTGTGGGCTTGAGAAAGAGCATTCCGTTGGCATTTTCATCAAAGCTTGTCGCTGGTTGTCTGTGATAAGCATTTTGCCATTGCCTGTTGGTTGTAAAATATCCTGGGGAAGCACAGTTTGGTATTTTTGGTCACAGTATTTACGCAGTAAAATACAAACATAGAATAAAGACAAAAGAGCTAAACCTTGTGGAAATAGGGTAAGAGAGCACTAACGGTAAATGCGCTGCAGTACCCGCCGTTCGACGTTTGGGTTTTGGTGTCGTGTGGTTATCTGCACTTCTGGCCTTTCATGCCGACCGTTGCCTGTTTGCAACGCTTACTCTCATGCTGATTATGATGTTTAGCTAGCTGCCATCCTTGTCACGTGGCCGACCAGTCCCGAAAAGGTATTGCCACTCTTCCTGGAGTCCCCGTGGTCCTCTGCTGACCCCAGCGTACACTCCGCCTGACCGCACCGTCCGTCCCGGAGTCCCCGTAGCCCTGTCAGGCAGGCAGCGTGTGTGGGGTCGCCGCCCTGCTGACGCCGCTGGCGCCGCCCCGGCAGTGTCGGAGGAGAAGTTCCTGCATCAGCTGTACCTGGAGGAGCAGTACGGCAGCACGCTGCTGCAGCAGGCGGCGCGGCGCGACGCTGAGACCGACAAGCGCCGGCTCGCCGAGTCGCGCGCCGCCATCGGCTACGTGTACGACGACAGCGACCCGCCGCTGCCGCCGCCCCAGCCGCCGCCGCCGCCGCCACCGCCGCCGCCGCCCGACGACGACGACGAGGAGGACGACAGTGACGACGACATTGACCTCGGTAAGGGCCCGTCCGACTGATGGCGGCTGGTTACGTCACCGGACGGCGACGCTGTCTTCGCAGAGAGCCGCGAGCTGTCGTGTCCACGATGTGGTGACGGGTCACGCCAGCGGTGTAGTCAGACATGCTCTTTTCACATTTGCAGTATGCACTGCTTGTGGTTTAGGTTTGGCTCGGTTGGACGGGTCCTGTCTCGCTGATCAGGCCTTATTAGGAGTGGGAACACAGCGACACGGCCTTCTGCCTGGTATGTCGGCTCGCGCGCAATGTCTCCTGCCGTGGCCGCCGGGCCCAATAGCGTCATGTTGGTGTTGGCCGCAGACATGAACCTGGAGGTGGGCCAGCTGAGCACGGAGCAATACGGGGAGCTGAACACGGTCGGCCGCACCTTCAACCTCAGCACCACCGGCTTCATGGACCTGCTGGTGGCCGACCAGCAGGAGCAGGAGTCGGCGCGCATGGCCAAGCTGGAGGAGGAGGAGAAGCAGGCGCTCTCGGTCCGTACTGGGCGGGCACAGTCCCCGGGGACCCTCCGTTGCCGTTTTGGTGGCGCGCGCCAGCCACGGGCTGGAGAGGCGAGGCTAGCACTCGTGGCCAGCAGTGACGGGCCAATGTGGTGGTCGCGCTCAGGCTGCCCCGCGATGCAATTTCAGCCCGCTCGGGAGGCACGTCTGGGTGTACGTTTGCCAAGAGCTACCTGTGACATGTTTCTACTCCACTAACAATTCGTGAAGTAAGTTTCACGCCAGAAAATTGCATTTCAGCCCCGAAGGTGCGGTTGACTTTTGATGTCACCTTCGCACCGCTTTTGCTGCCTCACCGTGGCCGTAACTCTCGGGCCCGAAGTGCCGCTACCGCCGCTGACGCCCCGCCCGGGGCAGCGTCACAGCGCGCTGTGTTGACCGCCGGCGCCGCCGCCGCAGGGCAAGAAGGGTCGCAAGGAGCGCCGGCTGCTGAAGGAGCGCAAGATGCAGCAGCACTACCGGCCGCCGACGGTGGTGTCGGTGCCGAGCTACGCGGCGCCGCGCGGCTCGCCCTCGTACGCGCCTTACGCGGGCCCGACCGGCGAGGGCACGACAGCCGGCTCCCGGAGCCGCTCCCGCTCCCCGAGCCCGCCGCCCAACAAGGTGAGCATCGGCGGCCCGGAGCCACTCCCACTCCCCGAGCCCGCCGCCCAACAAGGTGAGCATCGGCGGCCCGGATCCGCTCCCGCTCCCCGAGCCCGCCGCCCAACAAGGTGAGCATCGGCGGCCCGGAGCCGCTCCCACTCCCCGAGCCCTCCGCCCAACAAGGTGAGCATTGGCGGGCCCCGGAGCCGCTCCCCGCTCGCCCGAGCCCTCCGTCCGCCAACCAGGTGAGCATTGGCGGCCCGGATCGCTCCCGCTGCCCCGTAGCCCTCCCCGCGCAACAAGGTGAGCATTGGCGGCCCGGAGCCGCTCCCGCTCCCCGAGCCCTCCGCCCAACAAGGCGAGTATCGGCGGCCCGGAGGTACCACCACTCTCCGAGCCCGCCGCCCAACAAGGTGAGTATCGGCGGCCCGGAGCCACCCCCACTCCCGGAGCCCGCCGCCCAACAAGGTGAGCATCGCGCGCCGTCCCAGCAGGCCCAAGTGGCGCCCCGAGCGACTGAATACTTCGCCGAACGGAGTTGTTCTCTCCCAGCCCCATTCCGCTGGTGAGCATCGGCCTGTCAGCAGGGCCAGTGGGGGTCGGACTGATACTCGTCCGAACGGATTTGTTTCTTTCGCTGGCATCTGTCACCGAGTGGTCCTTCCGCGACGCGCCGTGTTTTAGTGCTCCGACACCCCGTGACCTTTATGCGACAGCTGTCTTCGGCGGGACTGACGTGCCCGTGCCCCCGTCGGTGACCTGCGCGCGCCCGTGTGCCCGGCTGTTGACGTGTACCACCGGCCGGCCAGGTGGAGTTCATCACCAGCTTCGGCCACGACTCCGACTCGGACGGGGAGGCGGCGGCGGTCGTGGCCGGCCCGGTCAGCGGCCCGGCAAACCTGCCGCCTGAGCAGCGCGCCCGCCCGGCCCCCCGGTACGCCCCCTGGCGACGGGCAGCGGTCACTGACCGACGCTCGCTCCACTGTGTGACGTCTGACCGGCCGGGGTATGGCCCTGGTGGGCTTGAGAGAGTCGCGCGAGACTGCGATCGAATTTGCCTTCTCTCAACTCGTTTGTTTCAGTGTACCTAGTGTTGTTTAACACGCACTCGGGTGAGGGTCAAATTACCCCTCCCCCCCCGAAGGTTTGTCAGAATGGTTTCCGAAGGGCGCGACGCAGCCCCGCGAAATTTTGCATAGTTGTGGACAATTGAATAGCGGATCGCTTGGTATTAACAACTTGCATATACCTTGTAAGGTCGCTGACCCACGCCAGGTCAAAGTCAGGCCATGGATTCTGTGATAGATAGGTCACTAACCTAGAATGACCCAGGTCAACATATTGTTTTTAGGAACATACTGCCTAGCGTAATATTCGTCGCTTATCCAAATGCAAAACTCAAGGCTGTCTTGCATGATTTAGTCACCATGCCCTTCAAAAGGTCAAACAGAGTCACTGACCTTAAATTAGCATGTGACCTTTTGCTTAAAACAGTTATCTAGGCCATAGGGGCACATTGGGGACCAACCTGGGTATTGACCTTGTTTGATCTTATTTGACCCGAAGGTCATGACCTGGGAACCTCAAACTTTGACCTGAGTGAGTTCAGGTACAGGCCAACCCACCCTGTAAATTTGGTGTCTCCAGCGACCCCCACTTGAGCGAAGGGTATCCAACGGGCCACCCGGGCGCGCGTTAATGATGACGAGCTTAACGTTTTATTGGCCTGGCTCGCTCCTGTGTATGTGAAGGGCAAAACATGTTTATGTCGTTGACGGGGACTTGAAGGTCTGGATCGCTTGTCACATGGTCCGAGTTCGCCAGGCGGTGAGCCGGTCTGCGGGCCGCGTCCGTGACCGTGTGCCGTGTGACCAGGCGGTGAGCCGGTCTGCGGGCCGCGTCCATGTGAGGCCGTGTGCTGTGACCAGGCGTGAGGGTCCTGCGGGCCGCGGTCATGTGTCCGGTGCCGTGTGCCGTGTGGCCAGGCGGTGAGCCGGTCTGCGGGCCGCGTCCATGTGCCGTGTGCCGTGTGACCAGGCGGTGAGCCGGTCTGCGGGCCGCGTCCATGTGCCGTGTGCCGTGTGGCCAGGCGGTGTCTGCCGTCCGGTGCCGTGTGACCAGGCGGTGCCGGTCTGCGTGCCGTGTCGCCAGGCCGCGCGGCGACCTTGACCGCGAGAAGCCGGCGCGCGACGCGTCCCGGCCGCGCGACCCGGAGCGGCGGCGCAGTCAGCGCTCGCGCAGCAGGTCCCGGGACCGGTGAGTGCAGCCGCCAGAGCTGGGCGCAGCCTGCCGCTGGCCCCTTACAGCGTGCTCTTGGTCGCGGTGGCCGTGTTCTACTTGTCGTGATAAGTCTCGATTACCGGAGTCAACCATCTGCTATATCTAGAGCCATCTGCTATATCGATAAGTGGAACACAACACCCGCAGTTGTTGACGTGACGTGAAGATGTTGTTTGCCGCGGTACGTGACGCCGCACTTTTTCAACCTCGACTAAGTTGACCATATCGCAAATTGTGTCCGTGTTTCGCGCCCCACCACGTTTGTGGAGATGGCCGAGCCGTAAGCTCGCTTCTGTTCTGTTCTCAGGTACAGTCGCAGCCGGCGGCGGTCCGACTCCCGCTCGCGGTCCCGCCGCTCGCGCTCCCGGTCCCGGTCCCGCCGCTCCCGCTCCGGCTGCCGGTCCCGATCCCGCCGCTCCCGCTCCCGCTCGCGCTCGCGCGGCCGCCGCTTCCGCGGTCGGCGCTCCCGCTCACCGCGCGGCAGCCGGCGCCGCTCGCGCTCCTACGGCCGGCGCCGCTCACGCTCGCGCTCGCGGTCGTGGTCGCGGTCGCGCTCGCGGTCCGGGTCGCGGGGCCGGCGCAGTCCGCGGTACCGTCCGGCCGACGGGCGGCGTTCGCCAGCGCGGCTCGGCGCCGGCAGCCCGCCAGGCAGGCCGGCGGCCGCCGCCGCCACCGTCAGCGCCGAGCCGGCCAGGTGAGACCGTGGGGCGTGACGGCTCACTGTGTGATGAGGCTGAGGCACCGGGAGAGCCGATTGTGACTGTCAGGAAGGTCGGCGGTTGGGTCAGTCCCGGAACTGTGCCGACAGCGGGAAAGGCAAGGGAAGGGAGCATGGACTTCAGCTTAAAGCCGCAGCGTTCACCACGGTTGTGTGGTCTGGCGTTTCGCAACGGCCGATGTGTACGGCGCATTGCGTGCCGCGGCTGGGCTGCGCTACACGGACCGTGGCGTGTGGGCAGTGGCGCAGGGGCGTAACGTGGCTTGGTCGGCAGTGTGATGCCGGCCGTGCCGCTGCGGGCGCCGACGCCGCCGGTGCGCCGCTACTACGGCCGACGCCGCAGCGTCCACACCTCGGACAGTGCCGCCTCGGAGGGCGACGACGAGGAGGAGGCAGCGCCGGCGCCGGCGGCCGACGCCGCGCCGCCGGCCGCCGACAACGGCGAAGACCGCACGGCCGCCTCCTCGCCGTCCTCGGTCAGCGCCGGCTCCGTCGGCAGGTGAGGGTCGTGTGGTCGCTGACCCAGGGCCGTGGGGTTACTGGCCGTCTGCCACCGCCACCCCGGCCTCCGTTAGATGCCGCCAGGACCGCCAGCGCCTGGGGAGAGCCCGCTGTTGCGCTGGTGACTCAGGGTCTGGCGAATGTGACCGCTTGGAGCAGCGTCCGTGGGCAGACTGGTCACTGGTGGTCGGGAAGGACGCGGTCGGCCGGATCTGAACAGTGCACCGCATGGCTGTACGTCGGTTGTGTTACGGAGTGGGCTCGGGTGGTGGTGCGCCTCCGTAACCCGTTCATCAGGATCGGGCCGTGCTGTGGTCCGCTGGCGGGTGTGTGCGCGCGCCAAGGGGCCGGCCCGCTCCCACCGGAGACGCCCCGCTGCCGGGGCGAGGACGTCTCCACTGCGGGCCGGCAGTAGCCGTGCGGAATGGGTCTGAGCGTGTCGCAGCGTTGGCTACCCCTCACGCAAACCCTTGCTTGAACTTGCTTCAGGTATGCAAGTTGATTGTTCTTGCTGTGTGGTTGTATTCGACTGCGGCGGTTTATGTATATCTGAGGCAGCTCGATGTACTGACAACATCGTAAGCGGAAGGAAGACGCCTTGCAGCCGGTGATGGTGGTGACGTAGCACTGAGTCTGTAATATCCTGGGTGCCGGCTGTCTATTGCCAATCATGCAGAGATTTAAAAAAAAACGCAACCTATTTCAAAAGTTGCGGGCGCAAGTTTTCTTAACAGGGTGGCACGTTGAAGTTGGTCATTTTCCACGGCAGCGAGCGCACAGCACCCCCAAAGTGTCTTGCGTTCAACGCGCGATGCTTGTTACACACGACATCCTTGCCGTCCATGGCTGTACCTCGCACAGTTTGTGTTGGGTTGGAGCTGACCCGTGCTGACGGCAGCCGGCGTTCGCTCAGGAAGTCACTCGGGCGGCCGCCGCTTCTGATGCCAGGTCCTGCCGTTTTCAGGTCTGCTCCAGTGGTAGTGTTCAATCAGCCCACTGCAACCAAAGTCAGTAAGAATGCTTTACTCTCCGCGAGGCCTTGCAGAGTTGATGAGTCGGTCGCTGTCCCGGAGTCTTGGTGCTCGCTCTTGCTGCGTGCTTGCATTGCTCAAGTTAAAGCAACTGCGCTGTAGGGAAGTGATACGCATGTACGGAAATGGCGCACGACGTTTTCATAAAAGCTTTCTGCACTGATCAAGGCTTCCTAGCCGAAACAAGTGAAGGCGGCAGTCAGAACTGAGAGAGACTTAAATGATTTGCTAGGATGGTTGGCAAGCGTATTGACAAGTAGATTTCTGAGAAGGCCTGGATGCGTGTCATGTCCCTGAGAATGTACCGAAACTGGAAGTTCTGCCGCAGGTGTCAAACACTGGTGAAAAGTCTGCTCTGATGCGTGATCCCCTATCTTGCACGTCGTCGTTCTTTTTGTGAACCCTGGCTGGTTGGGTGCCGTGCACCACATGAAATGAAACACCTATGTGTGTGCCTATTCCGCTGTCGCCAGCTGGGCCAATGTCGGGCGAGTGGTAGTCGGTGTGCTTTCGGTCCCGTGTCATAGCGAAATAGTCAGGAGTGATGGGGACTCAGTAGTGATTTGGGTTCACCCTTCCTCTTACCACCAGGTCTCCCCACCACCGTCAGCTCCGTGTTGACGAACAGTCCCCCCAGGTAGTCGAAACACACGTGACCACTGACCGGGTGACCCGCCAACCCCGGCAAGCCCCGGGTCTCCTGTAGCCCCCGGGCCGGCCGCGGCGCTCGGCGACAGTGCTGCCACCGCTGACGTCCGCCCGTGTTCCAGGCCGGCTCCAAGCTGACGCCGCAGGAGAAACTGAAGAGGAAGATGCAGATGGCGCTGCAGCGGCAGTGTGAGTAGGCTGGGGACGGCGGTGCCGGCGCTGCGCCACAGGCCGACGGCGGGCGTCAACAGATGGCGCTCCGCTCTGCGCCGGACTCTGGCGCCCGTCCCTCCCCTCGCCCCCTCCCCTCGCCCCTCTTCTCTTGGCACTGAGGCGATGTTAGCGCTGGGACGGAGCGGGAAGTTATCCGGCTGTCCGGTGGCGAGGCAGCGAGCCTCTTGTGGCCGGGTACAGTGACAGTCACTCCGCGTTTTCACGGATCGTAATGCCACTCGCATCGCGTCGAACTGCGTAGTCGTTCAGGGTGCATCCCGTTCCCCGCTGCACCGACTGGGCAGTGAGTGCATGCCGATGACTACGCCCGATCACCGCCCTCCCTCCGTCCGCAGACAAGGCGGATAAACGCGCCGAGCAGAGCCGCGCCGTCAAACAGGAGAAGGAGCAGGAGGCGCGTCAGGCGGAGCTGCGCTCGCGCGCCAGCCTCATGCGCAAAAAGTGGGTGGTGTTGACGGCTGCTGGCCGGTCGGCCGGCCGTGCTGCCAGAGCCACACGACCATGCCGACCATGTCGGACCGGAGGAGGCGCTCTGTCGGGAGCAGGATGTGTCACGGGCAGCGGGCGCTGGGCCGGCGACGGGGCGGGTCTCACTGGTCTGGTTCAGGGTCGTTGTGCGGTATCTTGTGCCTGCGTTATGTACAACGTCCACCGTTATTTAAGGCCATAAGTGTTTGCGTCCTTGGGACAACAGTGCGTTAAACACCAGACATTTGAAGCGTTGCACTGCACAGTTTGAGCCAGCCCATGCGGCGGTATATTTGCCCGTACCGCCGCGGGATAGCCACGCTCCGGCCAGCGAGGCTGCCCCGCGACGCTCCAGTTACAGCCGGCTCAGGCGCCGGCCGCGCTGAGCGCCGGCTGTGAGGGAGGCCCTGACCGGCGCCCACCCTGACTCCAGGGAGCGCCAGAAGTGGCGGCACGAGAACGGCGAGCCGACCGACTCGGACTCTGACGACTCGCACTTCTCGGACGGCTCGACCCCGGCCGCGCCGCCGCCGCCGCCGCCACCGCCGCCGCCTCACGACACACACCGGCCCGGGGGCCAGCACAGGTCAGCCCCCCTTTTGGCCGAGTCACGCCTGTAATCTGGAGGCTTGTGCGCACCATGTTTGGGAGGCGCTGTTGGCGCCTCTGGTCTGGCGATGGCAGTCGAGTGGGCGCTCTGTGTGCCGCGCGCGCGTTCTCCGCGCCGCTGTGAGCATGGCCTGCGCTAGCTGCCCTGCTGGGGTATGTTTTCTCCACCTCGTGTACGGGCCCGCAGCACCAGCCACCACTCCCTGACCACCGCGTGCCTTGCAGCGGTGACTGGGGGCGGCATCACGATGACGGTCCGGACCGGTACAGCGCCTGGCGACCGCTACAGCGGTGGTGGCGGCGACAGATACGGGGACCGCGGCAACGGTGACGACCGGTACGGGGACCGCGGCAGCGGCGGTGATCGGTACAGCGGTAGCGACCGGTACAGCGGCAATGACCGGTACAGCGGCGGTGACCGGTACGGCGGGGGTGACCGGTACGGCAGTGGAGACAGGTACGGGGACCGCGGTGGCGGCGGCAGTGACCGGTACGAGGATCGGTACAGTGAGCGGTACGGCGGCGACCGCGAGTGGCGGCCGCCGCGCGATGGGTACCCGCCGCGCCGCCCGCCGCCCTGGCAGCACCAGCTTGCCGCCGCCGGACGACTACGGACGGCGACCACGCTACCCGGCCGGACCACCGCCGCCGCTGCCGGCGACGCGCCGCGACCACCACTCGTACTCGGCGGCTGCCTACTCGGGGTACGTACCGCGGCTGGCCCTCCGGGGTGACGGTGATCTCGGGCGGCCGCCGGGACACGCGGAGGAGGCAGCATCGCGCGAGGGCCGGCGTCTGCCGCCGTCAGCGGGGCGCATCACCGCGGACAGCCCCTGCGCTGATGTCATCCCCATGCTGTCTGTGAGCACTGCGCACGGGCGTTGGCACGACAGACCCTCGAGAGTCAGCCGATGATACGATGGAATTGCTTCATCACTGAGAACCAATGGTGGTGCTGATGATTAATTGTTCTTTTCAGCGGCGATTACTCTCACGTCAGGTCTCACTAGGAGGATTATTTACATCACCTAGGGAATGCATATACTCGGGTTAAGTCCCTGCTGAAAGACGCCCCCAGCCTGGCGTTTTCCCACCAGTCGCTCGGTTGGTTCGCCTCGGGAGAGGGTCTGACCGGCCGGTCTGGTCTGGCCTGCAGGGACCGGAGCCGGCGCGGTGCGGGCAGTCCGGACCGTGACCGGCCCAGCTACCGCCTGGTGGACTACTGACGACCGGGCCGGCGGCGTCGGCCGACCTGGTGTCGCCGGCGAGCCCTGCTCAGCGGCCGACCGTGGCCCGGCCGCGGCGGTCGGCGCCGGGTCCGCAGCTGACGCGCGGCGGGCGAGCGGACCGGCCGCCGTGTTCCCTGGGTGGCGCCTGGCGCATCTTCGGCACGGCGTCGAGCCAGCGCGGTGACCCTGGAGTGCCAATGGGCCAGTGCCGCCGCCCGGTCGCACTGGATACCAGATGGATGTGTTGAGCAGTGAGCAGTGGGCACTGTGCGGTGATGTGACGGGCGGTCGTCCCATACCATTTTGGGGAGGACGAACGTCTTGTATTCGCGACACTCATATCACCTATATGGGGGATGGTGTGGGCCCGTTCGCCTCGTGCGGGGTCGGCCCGCCGGCTGCCCGCGTGGAGCGCCTGTGCGTCGGGCCCGGCTGTGACGGTGATCGGGAATGTGACGCGGCCGGGCGCCTCTGAGGCCCTCCCGACGGTCGGCGGCCGCCGCGTCGGGTGTCTCAGCAGCAGCGAGGACGGTCGACCCACGCGGTGTCGGGACAATATAGTGTCTGTGCCACACGTGCGTCCGTGGGACTCCTGAGTGCTGCCGCCGATAGGTGATGAGGCGTTATCAGGGAACAGACGCGCGGGAAGCAAACGCGCGATCGTGACGTGGTAACAGGTGGGCGGATCTGTCCCCTCAGCGGTGCGGCGGGCTCGGCCTTGGTCTCCGATCGGCTGTGTGGTATGCCGCGGAGTGTTGGAGCGCCGTGCTGGCGCTCACCCATCTCCCACCCTGCGTGCGTGGCCGACGAGGCGTTGGACCGCCCCGGACTGAAGTCCTATCGGCGTGGTCACGCCATCCCGGTCCTCCGCCGTGTAGTGGGCTCATACGATGTGGCCGCACTTCTCGTCGCTTATCATATTCAGCGGCGCCAGCGATATGAAGACACGCCTCAAGCTGGAACTGTTGGCTTCATGCTTTTGTTAACACGCGCCCGGGTGGCCGGCTGGATACCCTTCGCTTGGGTGCGAGGGGGGTCAATGTGACTGCCCCCCCCCCCCTGAGATCTCGGATCTTAGAAAGCTAGATACACCAAATTCACAGGGTATGTTGACCTGTACGTGAACTCACTTAGGTCCAAGTTTAGGGTTCCTAGAGCATGGCCTTCGGGTCAAACAAGGTAAAATTCCAGGTTGATCTTCAAAGTGCCCCCGGAACCTAGATAACTTTCTAAGCGAAAGGTCACAGGTTCGTTTAAGGTCAGCAACTTTGACTTTTTGGAGGCCATGGTGACCAAAATCATACTATACTGCTCTGAGTTTTGCAGTTGAATACGCGAGAAAGATCACGCTAGACAGTATGTTCCTAAAAACAAAATGTTGACCCGAGTCATTTTAGGTCAACTACCTATTCTGATCTCTAAGAAGTCCATGGAAGATGTAGAATACGGTTCCTGCTATCGATAAATTTGAAATGAGCACCAGAAACTGCAGCAGCAATGCAGCAAGCTCTGGGGTAGTAAAACAGGTTGGGTTTGACCTTGGCCTGGCCTTCGTACCTGACAGGTCAATGTGATCTGCTCATTCAATTGTGTTGCCTTGTGAAAGCATCTCAGATATGTATGGCTTCGTCTAGCACTTCGTTGTTGCATCAGATTGGACGATTCCCTAGAAATTGACTTCGCTGAAACCATGGCATGACTGGCCCGCCATAGGTCAGTGACCGTACAAGGTGCATCTAAATGTTTGACACCAAACGATCCGCTATTCAATTGTCTACAGCTATGCAAAGTTCGGCGCGGCTACGCCGCACCGTCAAAAAATAATTCTGGAAAAACCTTCCGGGGGTCAATTTGATCCCCCTAAACCCACCTGAAGCGCGTGTTAAGGACAGTCGCAACATGTTGAGTGATGTTTATTCCACGTAGCGTTTCGAGCTTCCGAGATGTGCGGCGAGTCGCCAGGCAGATTGGGAAGCCGCGGAACTTTCGGTGTGGGCATGTCGTCGTCATCGGGGCTTTACGACGCATCCAGCACCGCAGACTGTGGCGTCCCCTACTCCTCACCCTGGTAGGAGAGGCGGACGTCGCGGGACCGCTGCACGTCGGTGTTGACATCCCACCTGTTCGTCTTAGCTTGAGAGTTCCAAGAGCATCACCCAAAGCCGAGGTAGGACCTTAAACCATGGAACGGGTGTCTGTTGTGAGGAAGGTGCAGTTTTTACGACCCGTCCGAAGCGGCTGCCACTGTGACTTTGACTTTTGACATCCTTAATCGCGATGCCGTTATCATTCTTGACATCGCTCAGCCCGGCCGGCAGTGTCAAGCGCCAACATCTGGCTGTTATGAAAAAATCCTGCGCCCGATGGGACAGGGCCAGTCTCCATGAAGCTGTGCTTCTGTGGAGCTCACGTCTGACCCATCCACCTTCCTGATTCTTTCGCTAGCAGGCACCTTTGAAGCACGGCGGCGGAAAAACGTAGTTCTTGATGATGGGTTAGGAATGAGCGCGACGAGGCCGGTCTGGTCGGTCGCCTAATATCCATAAGACAAGCACCGATGCAGTTTTCTATAGATTGCTTCGCACAAACGAACGCTGATTTTGGAATCGCTGAGGCTGCCCACCGGCCCGGGGTGGCCCGAGGGGCTGCGTTGGCCGATCCAATGATGTAATTCGTTTGAGTTCGATGGGCCGTCTGCCCCTGGAGGCCTCTGACATCCGCATGAATTTCGCGCTGGATGCTGACCGCGGAGTATACCTACTGTGACACTTGGTACCAGAGTTATGATAAATATATAGGTTTGCATATTCACTAAACCACGGACCTAAGTAAAACGTTAGGTGCGTTCGACCGAATATCTTAGTTCATGGTTTTGATCGCCACGTCTTAGGTTGCCCACGCGTACAAGTCGCACTGTGGGGGCCCATTTCGGCTTTGCGGTTGCCAGGACGACCAGGGTGATAAAACCACGCCGTTGGTGGCAAGCAGTTGGTAATAAGGAGTACTCGTGCAAAGAATCTTTCCTTCAAGGTATTAGAAAGCCATTCATCTCGATGCATATGGATAGGTACAACCAGTTGTGATAACAGAACTGGGCTGCGTTATTATCTTGGTGGGTTGGCCGGGGTCATAAATGCACTGGCATATGCAATACTCATCACCTGTTGTCTAATTGGCTTTTGGTCAGACGTCTGGGCGCCAGGTGCTCGTTCGGTTGTAGCAATCTCTCCCACCCATTGTATTCCGTCTGTGTAGGAGGCCCCTGTGCCCCTCCTGGCGTCAAGTTGGCCCATTGTACAGTCGCTTCACCGGCGCTGGCGTGCTGAGGCGGCGCTTCCCACTGGCCTAAGGTACTAGCGCCGCCCCGCATACTCGTGGGAGCAGGTCTGCCAGAGTCGACTGTCCGGGCCTGTACCAACCGGCCTTTCCCAGTTCGGTTTTAAGGAGGCGGGTCGTTGAGGGGTAGGGGCGGGGAGGGAGCGGCGCCGCCATTGACTCACGGCCCACACCGACCCTTGGTGCGCCGCCAAGGGGAGAGCTGTCGGAGCCGCCCGAGATCGACCGACGTCCTCCAGTCATGCCCACTCCGGCCCCTGGTGCGCCGCCAAGGGGAGAGCTGTCGGAGCCGCCGAGATCGACCGACGTCCTCCAGTCAGGCCCACACCGGCCCCTGGTGCGCCGACAGGGGAAGAGCTGTCGGAGCCGCCCGAGGTCGACCGACGTCCTCCAGTCACTTTCCACTGCTCATGGCCCTCCCCTACCTCTTGTAAATGGCCTCAGCATATGTACATACGGCATAGCAACCAACCGATGTTCCAAGCCCGCTCTGTCCACCATTAAGATTATAGGGTTAGAAAGCGAAAAAAGTCGGCTATTAAGACGATTGCCTATGTTGTCAAGTCGACAGATTTTCCGCATATCCACGTACAGATCTCTGCAGGTGGTTTTCTTTAGGTTGCTTTGGGCCAGTCTGACCAGGCTCCGGCAGCTGCTGTCCTGTGGTGCTTCAGTTAGGCGACCCATCTTAGCTCAGCTTGAAACGCCGAGCGTTATCGATGTCGTCGATGATTGCTTCACAAAGGCGTTGGAGCAGTTCCAACTGTTATATCGAGGGTCGATCATTGGTAGAACAGTAACACCCAACTCATTTTGGCGAACTCGTTCCATGTCTTACTTCATATGACCGGACCGGTGGAGTTTGAAGATGTGCCCGGGTGTTGACTGAAGTGCGAGCTCGAATGCAGGCAGGCATAGGCCCAGTATACTCCATCGTGCTAAAATGTCTACTGAAATCTGAGATACAAGTGAGGAGAACTGACGATATGCTGGCCATCCTTTCGCTCATCTAGTTGTCATAGCGACAATGTACAAATTGCCTGATTGTGGGCTCGAGGATTTCATGCAGATTTCAACACTAAAGTTAACTCATGACTGAGCCAATCAGGGCCGGCTTCTCTGCAGAGCCAACAAATTCCTGCAGACTGTTGGAGCAGAAATGGACCAAAACCTTGGGCAAACATAACACCGTTTGTGAGGACAGTAGCCTGAATAATTATTCAGTCTTTACTGCACGATGTAGAGAAGCTTATCTACCATATATTTTGGAAACTTTGAGATCTCCTTCACTTGGATATTGAGATTGAGATTCGTGGCCCACTCTCAGATGGCTGACACTGTGTATACGAGACCTACTTCCAGGTGAATGACAGGTAGATACGAAACCTACCCTCAGATGACCGACGTGGAGATACGATTTCCGTGATCAACGCAACACCTGGCTGTTGGTCTCGCTACCTCGCGGCAGGGGCGTCGTCACCAATGCTAATGATAAGTGGGACGGGGTAAAACCATCACAGCACTTGAATAAAACATTGAGAGGATATAGCGCGTTCATCAAGTGGCGTTCTCGTACATGACCATTGGTTGGCAAATTTCTTATGTGTCTTTAGTTGCACCATGGGCGTAGGAACAGGGGTGGGGGGGGGGGGGCAGGGTGGCCATGTCACACACCCCCACCCCCACAGCTTCAAGGTGGGGGCGAGCAATGCTAACTGCC